GTTGAGCTGTTGTTCAGCATCTTAGCTGTGGAGGGCAGCGTCACTGGCCCTCATATGTGGGATCCGAACCGGGGCCCTCTGGCGTCCCAAGCCAGCTCTTAACAAACGCGCCACTCAGCCGGCCCCTCTGTCAGGCATTTTAAACAAAATGTGCAAGATCAGAATATTTAAAACTCTTGGTTACCCTTGTGATCATATGCCTATCATTGATCAGGAGCCCGAGGCTCAGGCAAGGACTTGGTTAGTGGCAGGGACTGGGACCAGAACCTGGATCTTGATGGCTGCATGACCATGATGCTCTTCAGTTAAGAAGAAAGCTGCTATCCAAGGAATGTGGCAGAACATCGACTACATTATTAGTGATACAAAGATTGAGTTTTCACGCACTAGCTTTTCTGAAGGTATGGGCTTTAATGTATTTAGGCAAGAACAGTTGGATGGTCCTAGGAATAAAGGTACTAAACAGCCTTGGCTGACTATGGAAGGGCCTGCTACTGGGAGAGTGAATAGGCCTTTCCCTCCCAGCAGCCATCAGGGCAGTGGGTAGACCGATCTGTGGGAATGTTCAACGTAAGGCCAGAAAAGATGGAGAAGACTGTTCCCTAGGGAGTATCAGGGAAAAGCTTGCATTTTCATGCTGGCTTTTGTTGAAGAATGTGTTTTGGATTCTAACTGAATATTCCCAAGTCATAGACATCTGCTGGCTGGAACGTAAAGGCTGACTGGATTAAATTTTACATCTTTTTCTTGGCGCGTTTTCATCAATATAAAACCAGTTCATGACAGTCCAATACCTAGACCTTGAGAGCCAGCCGATGTGGACAGGGTTTTTCTTACTGCGAGAATAGATCCTGCCGTGTCTTTTAGTGTTAATGTAACCACTAACTTTTCTCCATATACTGATCACCGGTATAAATAATAGGCCATGTGCTTGGCTTTTTAAGAACATGGTAGAGTTGAAGTTGGATCAAGGGTTGCTTTTTGAGGTGAGGTTGGTAATATCCAGCCCTGATTTAGGGTTCATCTCTTTGGAACTTGACTTGTATAATCAGGTTTCTCGTTCCCTTTTAGACTTTCTCCTGACCCCTGTGTCACCCACTGCCGGTCAGGGCAGTCCTTCGTTCTGCGTTGGGAGTCTGGAAGAAGACTCTCCCTTCCCTTCCTTTGCCCAGGTAAATCCTTTGCTTGTGAAGCAGCCAAAGGGTAATGAACGTGAACTCTACTGCTTGTTCTTTCTGGAAATCCCTGTGTTGAAGGGGAGGCTTACAGGCTAAGTTGCACTGACTCTATCAATCATGGAAGGCTTTCTTAAGCAGGAACCTCATGGATTTAGTCTGACATTACTTAGATGTACCAACGAAAGAGGCCAAGAGTAGTTGAGGAAGAATCAGTTTTAATTAGTTAACATATTACTAGATTTCTTTTTTCCCCTTTTCCCACTTTGGCAGATGCTGAGAGTTGGAAAAGCAAAAGCAGATGTGTGGCCCAAAACTGCTCCAAAAAAAGGTGAGGGTGGCCCTTCTCGTGAAGAGAATTTAGCCCCTTTCAAAAAGTATGTCTCTTGAGTTATTTCTAGAATTGTAATGCTATTTTTTAGATGAAAACTGCTTAGTTCCTCCTGCCCCTGTGGACAGCGATGGGGAGAGTGACAACTCGGACCGTGTTCCTGTGCCCAGTTTCCAGAATTCCTTCAGCCAAGCTATTGAAGCAGCCTTTATGAAACTGGACACACCAGCTACTTCAGATGCCCTCTCTGGTAAAGGCAAAGAACTGAGTGCTCTGCTCAACACAGGGTTGTCCTTTCCACCTGGATCCCGTGCAGATGTCACTAATCGGTCTGGCACCTTTCCGAGAGCCTTTCATTCTAGGCTCACATTCTAATGTCAGCTGACATTCCATTTGGTATTCCACTTGGTATGTCACATTGAACCTTTTTGCCACCTCAGATTAATTCTTGCAGCCTGGATGTGAAATTCTGAAAAATTCATTTTTCCTTTAGATACAGTAGTAGAGAGTAGATTTTGGAACCCTGAGTTGGTAAAGGTGGCTCACAGATGCAGAAATTGGGCTCAAAGCCCACCCCCGCTCTGGTATTCATTAGACAAAAATAACATTTATAATGTGCTTCCTATGTGTGCCTAGCATTGTGCTAAGTTTATTCTTTTTTTTTTTTAAAGATTTTTTTTTTTAATTGGAAATTGGAGGGATGGGAACAGAGCTGGGGAATTGGAGGAAGGGGAACAGACAAGTTGCTGTCGTTTTGTTCTTCAGTCTAGTTGTGGAGGATGTTGCTTNTTTCTAGGATTTTCATAATGATCGACAACCTTCTTGTGATAGAGCCGGGCCGGGACTGACAGCTCCCGGGTCGGCAGACGGGGGCTCCGGAGCAACAGAGCCGACGCCGCCCGCCTCAGACGGCCACCTCCAGCCGCCGCCATCTTGCGGGTTTTTTCTGGTTTCCAGATTTTTGCCAACAAACAACTCTTCCATATTTTCTCCCCTCAGTGATGGACCCCAGAAAATCAGAAACACCTGATCAGCTTTAGATAATTTATTATCAGGCTCCATTCATTTGTAGCACAAAACAAAAACTACTTTTGGTTGTTTATTCTACCTTACTGTAGCTTAATTGACACTTTCTGTTTAGCCAGTCAAAAGGGTGATAACTTGAGTACTACTCGTTGAACCCCTGTGCTATCCGTGCGTGAGTGTTGACTGTTAGGTGTCTGGGGTGGGAATCTCTGTCCTCAGAGTTAAGCCTGGTCTTAATTGAGTGTTGGTCCTTTTCTACTGTAGGACGTTCGACAGCGTCATAGATATCTCTCTCACTTGCCGCTCACTTGCGAGTTCAGCATCTGTGAGCTGGCTCTGCAGCCTCCTGTGGTCTCTAAGGAAACCCTAGAGATATTCTCAGGTGAGAAGTCCCCTACTTTGCTTCTCTGTAATAGAGTTCAGGGATTCTTGTGACTAGAAACCCACTGTGGGAGGACTTCAGGAGTGGTGGTGTGAGTCAGACCCTCCTGATGCATTCCATCTGCTTATCCAGTCCATCTGGTCCCACTCCTGTGGCCTTAGCTATTAGTCAGCTGGGAGGAGGAAATGGCCAGGTGGTCCTGGGTCTGCCTCCTCACAACCTGACCAACCCACAGATGACATTGAGAAGAGGAAGCGTCAACGCCAGAAGAAGGCTCGGGAGGAGCGCCGCCGAGAGCGCAGGATTGAGATGGAGGAGAACAAAAAACAGGGCAAGTGTAAGTTCAGGAACTCTCATCTTTGATAGTACAGCTGTGCATCATTGTACAGAGGCTCTGTGTCCTGGCCCAGAAGCCAAACTTCTTGGGCTCATATCCCAGCTCTGCCAGTGTTTTCTTTCTCTTAAATGTGAATCGTGAGAATATGTCTTTCATAGGCTTATTTGAGAATTAAATGAGTATAATGTGGGTCAAAGTGCATAGCACATTGTAAGGAATAAGATTAAATTCATCCTTGGCACAGTGGGTGAATAAGCCTGGCAGGGGAAGAAATTAGAGATCTGCTGAATGCTGGGGATAATTGTCCCATGTGTTCTCTGGATGGATCATTGAGCTCACCTTTGACTATTAAAAGGGACATCTATACCTAGCAAGTCTGCTAAGAGGGTCTGATAGAGTAGAAAAACCTTGACAAACTAGGAAATATATGTAGGAAGTTACATTTAAGAGCTCTTTCATACCAGTAAGTACAGAGTCTTTTGATCTGGTTCTCCAACATAAGCTTCATTGAACCCCAGAGATCAGGGTGACATGAGGACCCAGTTATCCTCCAGAAAACAAGGAATCGAGTCCTTGGCTTGGGAAAGAAAGAACTTAGCTATATTGACTCTGTATGATATGGTAAACATAAATTTTACTTCTCCAACTGGGATAAATATTGGGTTGTCGGAAAAGTCATGACGCATTTTTGCAACGAAAAACAAAAAATACATCATGACTTTTCCAACAACCAATATATAGTTGGGGTCCCAGTGCTGTTTAGCTTTTTGGCACTTGTCCTAAACATTTGAGAAAACTGATGTTTCAGGAACAAGGGCTTTTAACTATTTTTATTATGGAAATAATCAAACATAAGTATATACAACAGTATAATTAACCCCCATGTTTATTACCCAGCTTCAATTACAAATAGTCAGAACAGGCTTTTATATTAAAACAGAGACATATTATAAAGTGGCAGTTACAAATCTGGGTTTTAAAGCTTCTGTCTACATCCTTCAGACCCCTGGGGGATTCATATTGATTATCCTCAACTGTTGAAAAAGATTTGAGGAAATCTATAAATGGGCCTATCGTTCTCATCTTTCCTTTGCAGACCCGGAAGTCTACATTCCCCTAGAGAATCTACAGCAGTTTCCTGCCTTCAACTCCTTTACCTGCTCCTCCGATTCTGCATTGGGTCCCACCAGCACGGAGGGCCATGGAGCTTTCTCTATTTCTCCTCTTAGCAGAAGTCCAGGTTCCCAAGCAGGTAAATAAAGTTGGGATTTAAAGAATGAAATTGGCCACCAGCCACAGCCCTTAAAGCCCTAGTGTCTGAATTTACAACTCTGAATTTTTTCGGTGTGATGGGGTCTTTAGGTGACCAACCTTTCTTTGGGTAGTCAGTATATTCTGAGGTACATCAAATTCTAGCCATTTGATGCACCTTTCCCATTGGCTACACTGACTACTTTATGCCATAGCTTCTAAAAACCCCAAAGCAGCTCATATGGCATTACGGTCACATCTAGATTCTTCCCTGCGACCCCATTGCTTTATTTCTGGTTTCTACCTTTGAGATACTCCCTCTGTATGCTTGAGCATGTTTGTACGTGTCTCCTTGTAGCACTGTTGATAGTAGTAGGGGGGAAAAACAGTAAACAAAGTCCACTGGTAGGAAAATGACTAAGTTATAGCATTTATACTATGAAACACTTTATACCTATTGAAGAAGGAAATAACTCTCTTCATGAACTAATGGGTAGCCCTTTAAGATAAAAGGAAGTTGTAGAACAAAACAAAACGTGACACCATTTGTGGGCTTAAAGAAAAGCCTTTAAAACAAAACAAAGCATTTCTTATGGGTTTATGTATTTAAATGTATAGAAAAGGACTGAAATGTTTATGTTCCAAACTGATCATGGTGTTCTACTCCAGGGGTGAGATCAGGAATGAGAGGTGGTTCAAAGAGGCCTTTAGCCTTTCAAAAATATTTTTTTCTCATATAGAGAGAATCTGTTAATGTGTTATGAAATTAAACACTTAAGAAAGAATTGCTGTAATTTCATAGAACTATTATTTCTTATCTTCATCTACTTGGCAGATACTTTGGTACTTAAAATTTATTTTTCTGTCAGGCATTTTATTTATTTTTTATTTTATTTTTTTT